CGGACAGCTGCAGCCAATCCCACTGCCCGAGTGAGCGTGACAGTGTATTACACGATGGATTTCATCCCGTGACTGCCTACAGAGGACAAATGTAAGGACGCAAGCTTCATCATCATTGACAAATTGACAAAGATGGTGCTTTTCGCCGCATGCAAGAAAGGCCACTCAACATCATGACGATTTATCATAGCCGTCGTTCAACTCCATGGGATACCATCTTCCATTATGTCCGATCATGTAATACATGTTTCACCAGTAATCTATGGCGACATATGTGGGAACAGTTCGGAACACGGCTACAAATCTCATCGGCCTACCATCTAGAAACTGACAGCCAGAGGGAACGAGCAAATCAGACGATGGAACAGCTTATTCGCGCCACCAGCAATGACATTGCCGACTAAGAGCAGCAAATCATACTGATCGAGTTCGCGTATAACAATCTCCCGCCAGCCATCATTCACCAATCACCGTTCTCAATTTGTGACAGGACCCTACCGCAACCATCACTCCCAATCCATATTCCACGGGCCCAATCATTCGCCAAAATTTTATAGAATGCATTTCATATGCTTTGCGGTTTTATGCCTGACAAGCACGTTCCGCACCAATGCAACCACAGGTGTCGGTTCAATCAAGATATGAAGCGATCAAAAACTACGGCCGTAGAATCATCAGGATTGAACGATGAGTGTGCACTTTGCGAAAGCGTTGATTGGTTGAGAACTATGTCAGAGTGAATGTAACTTAACAGAGTTGATTGTAGCAAAGAGATATAGGGTTCAAATAGTGATACAAGAGAATGCGAAGGGGTCTAATTAAAATGCACTTAGCAGGGGTACATTCCCTTAAGGTTTCAGATCCGACCCGGGTAACTGAAATGGCTCAGGTAAAGCCCGTGCTGTATTACAGAGTCAATTATGTGTACCTGCTAACATGTCAAACCCTTGGCTTTCCGCCTATTCGATTGTTGGTCAACGGTCAACGACTATTGCACTTCGTGATTCGGTACAAGCGCGTACTCGATAAGAGTTACTGCTCGAGTGTTATTTTCAGGAATGTAAGTAGTTCCTTATCATAACACTCCCCTTCATTTCTGAAGGTACTCCAGCTTGGCGCGCTTAAAGATTCTGCAAAGCTCGACACAGTGCTGGTACTATTGTCATGGCAGCTTCTTGGTGAGGAAGTCAACTGCCATGTCACCAGTGGGGCAATACTTCATATCCACCTTCCCTTTGTCGATTTTGTCATTTACGAAGAAGTATCGCAGGGCGATATGTTTCGTGTGATTCACAAACCCAGGCTTGTTGGCAATATTCATCGCACTCTGATTCTCGCAGCAGCAGCAGCAGCTGCTGTGGGGGCCGGCGGGCCCAAGGAGTGGTGGTCGTGGTTGAGGCCGTGGAGGTTGGGCCCCAGGGTACTCGGTGCCCTAGGCATGGCTCTTCTATGGACTAAGGTGCTAGCGGTTTTGAAGGCGTTGTGTTCTGCATGTACCAGCTCTTGACTGGCAGCAAAAACATGGGCAAGCGTTGGGGAGAAACCAAATCCATCACATCAATCCTTTTCAGAATGAACAAGCAATGGGACCAAAGGCATGGGCTGATCTCAAGGGTGTACACGCTCCTGCAACAGCGGCAGTGGCTGTGGGTTTGGAGCGGCAAATGGCGGCACTTCGAATTGACGAAGGTGAACCGGTGGAGGAAGGAGTGCAGAAATTCTTTGACTTGTTGACATGGCTTGAAAGAGCTGACCTGAAGTACAGTAACCTTCAAAAGAAGACCAAGCTGCTGACCTTGCTTCCGGACTCATGGTCCTCACTCGTCATCAACCTAAATCGAGATCTGCCCCGTCTCTCACTCGAAGATAAGGTCGCGAATTGGCGGATCCCGATAGTGCCAGAGTCGCAAGCAAGGGCCATGGGCGCGGCTGTGGAAGGGTCAGAGGGCGAGGAGGCAGATTTGGCAGCAGTAACTTCAATGGAGGCCGTGATAATGGAGGATATAGCAGCAACAACAACAATAATGGCTTCGGGCGTGGGCGCGGTTGACTTGATGGCGAAAGCCACTTTTGTTACAAGACTGGCCATATGTGGAGAGATTGCTTCACATTGCCTGATGGATGGGCCCCACCTCAAGGCCAAGAGGGTAGAGGAGAAAGGGGAGGAAGAGGCAGAGATCGTGGAGGTCGTGGTGGTCGTGGAAGCGAAATGGCAAGCGTGAAAGGTGGAGACTACGAGACGGACCCGAGTGAAGATCGATACGCGGGCCGATTCTTCTTTGTCTCCACGCAAGCGGCTGCTGGAGCAGGAGGTGTGGAAGGCTTTGAGGAGCCAGCTACTGTGGAAAAGGTCACCCTTCACTCTTTGGACTTCTGGGTGATCGATAGCAGCGCCACCTATAGCATGACACCACGTGCAGACTTGCTCACCGAACTTGAACCGTCGCCAATAAAGCACGTTACATTGGCTTTGGAGCAGCGAGCAGAGGTGAAAAGTGTTGGTGCAACCCTATGGCTTGCACTCGGCTTGTCGTCCGTGTTTGTGTGTGTGCATGCATGGCATGGAATGACTTGTGAGTCTATGTCATTGCTATCTAGTGCTTGTGTGTGTGTTTGAATGGTGTCTCACAATGTGGTGTGTGTCGGTCAAGACATTAGTGAGTTTTTACAACTCGCATGTCAAGTCGTCGTTTGCGTGTCGCATGTGTTTTTCTATTTTGTCAAGTGTGAAGTGTCCATCGCGTCGCAGGTGTGTGCAGCAAGCCCCCATCAACTCAAGAAGAATTTATCTTGAAGAACCAAGACCAAGAGCTCAAGATTTCAAGCCCAAGGGACGCGGATAAATATTAAATAGTGAAAATAGTAACGCTACTTCGTGTAGTGTTACATTTCACTTGGTGTAGCCCCTTGGAGGGTTTGTTTTGAGACTCTTCGTGGTTGGGGACTCTGTGGTGGTGTACCACCAACCTGGACCTCGGCTCTTGGGGTATGTAGAGGCTGGGAACCATCTCCCTCTCAAATTCTTCTTCCTAAGTTTTGTACTCCTAACACTATAGTGGCTGCTGTACCTCCTGCCAGTCAAACCGCCATAGCGTCGTCAAATCTCGATGGAATTTATGATTCAACTTGCTGCTGATAGGCGACACCAACGCGCTCCAGATCCAATTTACAGATCACCGTTTGAGGCACACATCAGATCGGCATCAATATTTGAAGCTGGCTGACGGAATTCTGACTGTGCACATTTTCTCTCATTTTAGGCACATCTGAGCCTATTGTGATTATAACAAATGGTATCAGAGCCCCTTGGAGCTGTCTCGACCATGCCTAGACCTGAGGAAGGGGGTGGCAGAGGTGCTGGAGGCAGAGAAGACGCCCAAGCACAAGGTCAACACCAAGATCCACCCATGGCTCCCGTGCAACCTAGCCTTGGCCCCTCTAGGGATGAGCCTAGAGTGTTTGGCCTTGACAAGTTCAACGGTGACAACTTTGCTGAGTGGTCCTTCAAGATGGAGAACATCTTTGACCACTATGATCTGCTGGAGGTGATGGAAGGAACGGAGAAGCGCCCCGAGAACGACCCGGAGAAGAGCCCGTGGGTGCGGAAGAGCGCACAAGGCTATCTTCTACTTGGGCAAGCGTTGGGGAGCAGCCAAATCCGTCACATCAAGCCTTTTCAGCGTGAACCAGCAAAGGGACCAAAGGCATGGGCTGCTCTCAAGGGTGTACACGCTCCTGCAACAGCGGCGGTGGCTGTGGTTTTGGAGCGGCAAATGGCGGCCCTTCGAATTGACGAAGGCGAACCGGTGGAGGACGGAGTGCAGAAATTCTTCGACTTGTTGACACGGCTTGAAGGAGCTGACCTGAACTACAGTGACCTTCAAAAGAAGACCAAGCTGCTGGCCTTGCTTCCGGACTCATGGTCCTCGCTCATCATCAACCTAAATCGAGATCTGCCCCGCCTCTCGCTCGAAGATGTGAAGCGGGAAATCTTACAAGAAGATTTCCGTCGTCGTGAATTGGCGGGTACCGATGGTGCCGGAGTTGCAAGCATGGGCCGTGGGCACGGCCGTGGAAGGGGCAGAGGGCGAGGAGGAAGATTTGGCAGCAGCAACTTCAATGGAGGCCGTGGTAATGGAGGATATGGCAGCAACAACAACAACAATGGCTACGGGCGTGGGCGCGGTCGATTTGATGGCGAATGCCACTTTTGCCACAAGACCGGCCACATGTGGAGAGATTGCTACAGATTGCCTGATGGATGGACCCCTTCTCAAGGCCAAGAGGGCAGAGGAGCAAGGGGAGGAAGAGGCAGAGGTCGTGGAGGCCGTGGTGGTCGTGGAAGCGAAGCGGCATGCATGAAAGGTGGAGACTACGAGACGGGCCCGAGTGAAGATCGATACCCAGGCCAATTCTTCTTTGTCTCCACGCAAGCGGCAGCTGCAGCAGGAGGTGTGGAAGGCTTTGAGGAGCCAGCTACTGTGGGAAAGGTCACCCTTCACTCTCTGGACTTTTGGGTGATCGATAGCGGCGCCACCTATAGCATGACACCTCGTGCGGACTTGCTCACCGAACTCGAACCGTCGCCGGTCAAGCATGTCACATCGGCTTTGGGGCAGCGAGCAGAGGTGAAAGGCATGGGCAAGGCCATGTTCAAGGGTGCTGATGGGAAGATGGTGGGCCTCAAGAACGTGCTTTGGTGCCCAACCTTGCAGCCAACCTGATTTCCGTGCGGCTTTGCAAAAGGCCGGCATGGACACATCTTCCAAGGGTCCGAAAACTTATACCGCGAGGCTTGGTGAGCGGAAGCTTTGGGACCTTCATGAGGACAGGGACATCTACAATGAATGTGGCAAATCCCAGTGGTCCCCATGCCTAAGGAGAGGCAAGTGGCAGCAAGCGTCAGCACCAAGAGTGAAGCGGATGGTGGCGGTGATCACGGAAACAAAGTGACACCAAGAGTGACTCGAAGAGTGCAATCTTGGAGAGACCAGCAAGGCGTGTGAACCCAAGGAGAGTAGTGCAGCAGCCAAAGGTGGTGGAAATGAGGAGGAGAATCATAAGATCAGCAAAACAGCAGCGGCGAAGGAGAAAGGAGAGAGCTTGTGGGGCACAATTGCGAGTGCCGCTTTCTCCAACCCGACCTCCGCTACGGGAGAGTGTGATTGGCTGACCTTGCATCGGCGAATGGGGCATGTGGCATTGCCCATTTTGCAGCAGATAGTCAAGCAAGACATGGTCAGTGGGATACGTGTCAAGGGGGAGCCCAATGAGGTGCTTGGCTGTCCAACATGCATGCAAGCCAAGTTCACCCGCTACCCGTTCCATAGCTCGGAGACAACGGCGAAGGCACCACTTGATGAGGTGGTGATGGATGTGGTGGGTCCCTTGAAGCTTGGAGCTGCTGGAGCTGAGTACTTCCTCACCATTGTGGACGTCTACACTCGCATGACTTGGGTATATGTGCTGCCCAAGAAGAGTGACGTGGCTGAAACGGTGAAGACCGATTGGTTGCCGATGGTGGAGCGGCAACAAGACCGACTTGTGAAGGCGATTCGCACTGACCGTGGGGGAGAGTTCCTGAGCAAGAACTTCTCAACTTGGCTGAAGAAGCAGGGCATAAGGCACTCTCTTACCATGCCCTACTCTCCTGCAATGAACGGCATTGCCGAGCGTGCGAATCGGACACTCACGGAGACGGCTCGGGGACTTCTCATTGAAGCCGGTCTTCCCAATTACTTTTGGCCGGATGCGGTGCGGCATGCTTGTGTGGCCAAGAACAGAGCCTTGACTCACGTGGGAGAAGACAAATGGGTGCCCTATGTGGAGTGGATTGGAAGGAAGCCGAAGGTGGATATGCTTCGGGTGTTCGGGTGCATGTGCATGGCACTTGTGCCTAAGAAACTTCGGCACAACAAGCTTGATGCCAAGGCAACATGGGCCGTGCACTTGGGCATGGCTCAAAACAGCAAGGGATGGCTTCTTTGGGACCCATTTACCAAGAAGTTCCTGGTGAGCAGAGATTGCAAGTTCATGGAGAACTTACCGTACAAGGAGTGGAAGGCGGAGAACCAAGCGAAGATTGGTGTGCGGCTTGGAGAGGTGAAGAGTACCGGCTTGGAGCATGTGGAGCTGCCCTTGGAGCTGAGTAGCAGCAGCACTATCACAAGGCAATCTCCTCAAATGAATGGGGGAGAAGAGGAGGAGGAGGTGCAGCAAGGTGATGAGCGTACACCGTCACTTCCGCCTCGTGCTACAAGTGCTCGCGGGAACCGAGCAGATTTGCAGCAACGCCATGAGAGCATCCAAGTCCCTGCAGTAGAGGAGGAAGGAAGGGGGAGAAGGAGGACTCAGCCCCCCAATAGGTTGAGCTATGAACGGCTTGGAGGAGCAGCCAACTCAACCTTGACCGGTTCGGCTCTCATGCTAGGCGATGAAGCGGAAGATGAAAGCGAGGAGTGCGCTTTTGCCTTCTTCTCTCCGGTGGAGATACCGGGGGAGCCTACAAATCCCAAGGAGGCTTGGGAGGGCCCCAATGGGAAGGAGTGGAAGAAGGCCTCAGATGAAGAGATGGGGAGCATCATCGAGAACGACACGTTTGACTTGGTGAACCTACCCCGGGGCGTAAGGCGATCTCTTCCAAGTGGCTCTTCAAGCGCAAGACCGACGCCGACGGCAACATTGAGCGCTACAAGAGCAGACTTGTAGCCAAGGGGTACCAGCAGCAGGAGAAGAAGGACTACAATGAAGTATATGCTCCTGTGGTAAAGGGTACAACCCTTCGAACCCTCTTCGCCGCGGCGGCCATCAAAGGATGGGTGGTGAAGCAAATGGATATCGTAACGGCCTTCCTCAACGGAGTTTTGGAGGAAGAGACCTACATGGAGCAGCCAGAGGGGTACAATGATGGGAGTGGCAGAGTGTGGAAGCTGAAGAAAGCACTCTATGGCCTCAAGCAAGCCCCTAGGCAATGGTACATCAAGCTGCGGGAAGTCTTGGAGGCGATCGGTTTCACTCCCTCAACGGCCGATCAATCATTGTTCATGCTTGGCGAGGGGGAGCAGAGGAGCTTCATGGTGGTTTATGTGGATGACATCCTCATATTCTCACCCTCCTCTGACCTTGTGAAGGAGGTGATGCTGAAGCTTCAAGACAAGTTCAAGTGCAAGACCCTTGGTGACGTCAACTACTACCTTGGGCTTCACATTGAGCGAGATGTGGAGAAGCGGTGGATGCGAGTGCATCAAAAGAAGTACTTGGAGGCCTTGGCTGCAAACTTTGGAAAGAGTGAAGGTCATGTGGCTACTCCTCTTCCCTCAGGGTTCAAGTGTGTGAAAGGACCAGCAGAGGAAAGTGTTGGTGAAGAGGAGAGGCGCCGTTTTCATTCCTTGGTGGGCAGCCTCATGTATGCGGCCGTTCACACAAGGCCGGATGCAGCCTTTGCTACCGGACAGCTAGCTAGGGTTGTCCAATGCCCTAATGAAGAGCAGGTAGCAGCTGGAGAGAGGGTGGCCAAGTACCTTGGCCAAACAGCAACTGTTGGACTGCAATACTCCGCGGCGGCACAAAGGCGTCAAAAGGGTGCGGATGGAGTCGAACCCGGGAGGCTCTTTCTCACCGCCTTCTCTGATGCATCTTGGGCATCAGAACCAGAGGACATGACAAGTGTGGGAGGCTTCATCTGCTGTGTTGGTGGAGGACCAACAGCTTGGGAGAGCAAGAAACAAGTGGACCAAGCATTGAGCTCGGTGGAGTCCGAGTACATGGCACTCTTCCGTGCCATAAGAGAGGTTGTGTGGCAGCGGCGTTTGCTAGCTGAATTGGGGGAGGAGCAGCAAGGACCTACCCCCCTCTACTGTGATAGCCAGGGTGCTATTGCATTGGCTAAGAACCCCGTTCTTCATGGCCTTACCAAGCACATGAAGGTGAAGTGGCATTGGGTGAGGAGCATGGTAACCGCGGGTGAAGTGGAGTTGCACTACGTGAAGACGACGGCGCAGCCGGCTGATATGATGACCAAGAGGCTGGTTGAGCAGCAGCATTGGAAGTGTTGCAAGCTTGCTGGGATGGCTCTGAACTAAGGGGAGCAGATTCTAAGGCCAACAATCCGAGGGGGAGTTTGTTGGTGCAACCCTATGGCTTGCACTCGGCTTGTCGTCCGTGTTTGTGTGTGTGCATGCATGGCATGGAATGACTTGTGAGTCTATGTCATTGCTATCTAGTGCTTGTGTGTGTGTTTGAATGGTGTCTCACAATGTGGTGTGTGTCGGTCAAGACATTAGTGAGTTTTTACAACTCGCATGTCAAGTCGTCGTTTGCGTGTCGCATGTGTTTTTCTATTTTGTCAAGTGTGAAGTGTCCATCGCGTCGCAGGTGTGTGCAGCAAGCCCCCATCAACTCAAGAAGAATTTATCTTGAAGAACCAAGACCAAGAGCTCAAGATTTCAAGCCCAAGGGACGCGGATAAATATTAAATAGTGAAAATAGTAACGCTACTTCGTGTAGTGTTACATTTCACTTGGTGTAGCCCCTTGGAGGGTTTGTTTTGAGACTCTTCGTGGTTGGGGACTCTGTGGTGGTGTACCACCAACCTGGACCTCGGCTCTTGGGGTATGTAGAGGCTGGGAACCATCTCCCTCTCAAACTCTTCTTGCTAAGTTTGTACTCCTAAGACTATTGTGGCTGCTATACCTCCTGCCAGTCAAACCGCCATAGCGTCGTCAAATCTTCATGGAATTTCATGATTCAACTTGCTGCTGATAGACGACAGCAACACGCTCCAGATCCAATTTACACATCACCGTTTGATTCAGTGACCAGATCGTTATCAGTATTTGAAGCCGTCTGACAGAAATCCGACTGTGCTCTCTATCTCTCATTATAGGCACATCTAAGCCTATTGTGATTATAACACCTCCTCCCACCTCTGGCGCCTCCTCACCGATCTCTATGATCGGCAGGACGTCGCCACCCTCTACTCCCTCATCAAGGAGTTCCAGAGCCTCACCATGGACTCTACCACCGGCGCAGTTGCCTTCACGCGTCGCGTCATCGACCTCGCTCGGCGCCTGGCGGCTCTTGGCGTGCCGTACCCGGACCCAGTGCTCTGCTGCCATCTCCTTGAAGGCTTGACTCCTGCCTTCGACACCCATAAGATCGCCTACATGTAGCTGATCGACAAGCGCATCACCCCGGCTGAAGTCGCCCAGTGGATTATCACCACCGAGGCCGACCTCTTGCGCCATTCCTCCTCAACTGCCGCTATTGCTCAGCAGCGCAACACTAGGGGAGGGCGTGGGGGTGGGCGTGGCGCTGGTCGTGGTGGTGGTGCGGGTCGTGATGGCAATGGCGCAGGACGTGGTGCAGCAGCCGCCTTTCCTCCTTGTCAGTATCTCCCTCGCTATGGCCCCACGCGGGGTCAGCGCTGCGGCCAGACCACTCATGCCACTGATTCTTGCTTCAAAGCACTCAGTGATCAGTGGTTTGCCCGCGGCAACACCGGCACCCCCCCCCGCTGGTCCTCCCTCTCCCCTCGCCCCACTCCTCAAGAGGTTCGTACCTCCCCTCTTTTCCAGCCCGTCTCCTCCCCCTTGGCCCACCAGGCCGTCTCTCAGCAACAGCAGCAGCAGCAGACTCCGCAGCAGATCCTGCCGCAGCCGTTTCAGCAGCAACAGCAGCAGTTCCAGCAGCAGCAGCAGCAGGGGCAGCAGCACCTCTTCTCCCAGTTGCAGCAGCAGCTTCAGCAGCTCCAGCAGCAGCTTGACCTCCAGTCGCAGCTCCCCCTTGCACCTCCTCCTATGGCTCCCCCCCAGCAGCCCTACCCCGCTTGGACCGCCGGCATCGCCGCTTCCGCAGCTCACCTCTCGGGCGCGTCTCCCGCGCCCTCAGCCTCAGGCAGTGACTCCTTTCCCCTCCTCTGGTTTTGTTGGCATGGTTAATCAGGCTGGAACCCCCGCCCCTTCTATGTATTCGGCTGCTATTAATGAGAATGCCTTTCAGTACTCCGTCCCACCTCCTCCCCCACATCCTCCCCCCTCCACCACGCTGGACTTTGTCCTTGACAGTGGAGCCACCGAGTCCGTCCTTCGTGATGCTGGTACCCTTCACCCTCTCCCAGCCCCCACCTCCCTCCTTGGTGCCGATTCTAGCTTCTCTATTCCCTGTCGCCACACCTCTACCCTCCCCTCTCCCCTCTTCCCCTCAGGTACCGTTACTGGTTTACACATCCCCTCCCTCCGTACTAACCTCCTCTCCCAGCGATCCCTGCAGCAGGCCGGTATCACCACCGTCTTCCCAGGTCGCACTAATCACTGCCTCCTATATCATCCCACAGGTCGCCTCCTCTCTCGTATTCCCTTTTGTCCTCGCTCCCGTCTATATACCCTTCGAGTTCCTCGTCTTCCCTCTGCCCAGGCAGTCTCCCGCTCCCTCCCCCCACCTCACATCCTTCCCCCTCCTCTCCCTCCTTCTAACCCAACCATTCCCCCCCTCCCCCCTGACCCAACCTGCTCCTGTCGATCCCTCTCCCATCCCACCATCCTCCTCCACCACAGGCTTGGTCACCCCAACTTTGCCACCCTCTGCTCAACCGTCTCCTCAGGTCTCCTTCGAGGTTTTCCCCTCACCCTCCCTCCCCTCCCTCCCTCCCTTGCCCCTCCCTGCTCCGTCTGTGTCCAGAGCAAGCTCAAGCAGCTGCCGCATCGGAGTTCCCCCTCCGCTGCTGCTCAGCCGCTTGATCTTGTTCACATGGACCTTTGGGGCCCCAACCCCTCCCCTTCCCGCCAAGGCCATCGCTACATGCTTGTTCTGGTCGATGATCACAGCCGATATTCGTCCGTCTCCCTTCTTCGCTCGAAAGGTGACGCTCCGGCTGCGATCATCGCCTGGCTCAAGCAGGCGAGCACCCACTTTGGCCGCCCTGTGCGCCGCCTTCACTCTGATGGCGGTGGCGAATTCCTTAATCGTCAGGTAGCCTCCTACTGTGAGCTTCATGGCATTCGCCAGACTCACACCCTCCCCCACTCCCCCCAGCAGAATGGTGTGGCCGAGAGCCGTGTTCGGGAGATCACCAAGATTGCTCGGTGTCTCCTCGTCCATGCCTCTTGCCCCCCTTCTCTGTGGGGCTATGCCCTCCTTCACGTCACCCTCCTTACTAACCTGTACCCCCACCCTATCCTTCCCTCCACCACTCCCACCGAGCTTTGGACGTCGGCCAAGCCTGACGTCTCCTCCCTCCGTGTGTGGGGCTCCAGGGCGTATGTCCTCATTCACCCTGCGGACCGCCCCCGCACCATGGGAAAGCTCGCCTCCCGTACCCTCCCCTGCATCTTCCTTGGTCATAATCCCTCCTCCCCGGACTACCTCTTCCTTCACCCCCCCTCAGGTCGTTTCCTCCCCAGTCGGGATGTAATATTTGATGAGTCCACACCCTACTATTCCACTCCTCCTCCCACTGACCCTCTCGCCCCTGCTCCCAAGCCCCTCAACTGGTCCGACACTATCCCACCCCCTCTTCTCCCTCCCCCTCCCATCCTCCCCCCCGCTCCACCTCCTCCATTCCCCGCCGCCTCGATCCCTAGCGCTCCCCCCTCCTCTAGTGACATATTTGACCCTGACCCTTTTTCCCCCCCCCGCCTCCCCGTCCCACTCCTCCCCCTCCGCTCCCTCCCATCCTCCCCCCTCCCCTCCTCCCCCCTCTCCCCCGCGACCCCTCCCCCCCTGCGTCCCACCCGCTCTATCCTCACCCGGTATCCCCACACCAGGTCGCGTGACGCAGTCCTAAGTGCTCCGCCTCCTGTTATCCTCTCTTCCTCTACCTTGCCTCCTCTCTCCCCTCTCATGGATCTCCTTTTTCAGACAGTCTTACAACAAAACACTAGCCCAACCCTGCCGTCGAGCTCCAGTACAACAGTCCCAACAGCAGCAGCAACAGCTGCAGCAGCAGTTCCACCCACAGCAGCAGCACCAGCAGCAGCAGCCGTCGCTCCTTCCTCGCCCTCACCCGCAGCAGCAGCAAATGCAGCAGTAGCAGCCGCCTCAGCAGCAGCAGATGCATCCTCAGCAGCAGCAACAGCAGCAGCTGCAGTCCTCCCATTCATTTTCCACTCCTCCCTCCTCGAGGACTCCCATGAGGAGTTCCTCAACCTCCACCTGCATGATCCTGCCCTCCTACCCATCTCCCCAGACCTCAGCGGCACACGAGTCTTCGCCTTCTCCTCCGCCCCCATCATCTTTGTCCCCGCCACGTACGAGGAGGCCATGGCGTGCCCTGACGCTCACCTCTGGCTCGCAGCCATCCTCAAGGAGTTGGAGACGTTTATTGCCAACTCCTCCTTTGTGGATGTGCCCCGCCTTCCCTCTACCACGAACGTGGTCAAAGGGAAGTGGGTGTTTCGAGTGAAGCAGCTTCCTGGCGAGCCGCCGGTCTACAAGGCCCGCTACGTCGCCAAGGGCTTCACCCAGCGCTACGCTGTCGATTTCTTCGACACCTTCTCTCCCACCGCCAAGCCCGCTACCATTCGCGCAGTCCTCGACCTCGCCGCTCGCCTCAACATGGAGATTCACTCCATGGACGTCTCCAACGCATTCCTCCAAGGGGTCTTGCGCGAGCTCATTTACATGGAGCGTCTTGCAGGTTTCCACCTCCCCTTTCCTTCCGACTCTGTCTGGCAGTTGCGTCGGCCGGTCTATGGGCTCAAGCAGGCACCAAGGGAGTGGCATGCCAAGCTTGCTGCCACCCTCGCCAAGCTTGGCTTCAGCACCTCCCGCGCCGACCCCAGCCTCTTCCTCCGCACCTCCCCCTCCCCCTTCTACATCCTCGTCTATGTCGACGATATGATCCTCATCACTGCCGACTCCGCCGAGCTCGAGCGCGTCAAGCGTGAGCTTGGCAGCCGGCTCAAGTGTAAGGATCTAGGGGAGCTGCAGCACTATCTCGGCATGGAGATTACCCGCGACCGTGCTGCTCGCACCATCTCTCTCTCCCAGAGCCGCTACCTGCAGCAGGTCCTGGAGCGGTTCGACATGGCTCGAGGCACCCCTCAGGTCACCCCTCTTCGTGTTGGGCACCACCTCACTCCCCTCACCTCCCCCTCCTCCTCCTCCCACCCCTACGCTGAGCTCATCGGCTCTCTCATGTATGCCATGGTCTCCACCCGCCCCGACCTGGCATACCCCATCAGTGTTTTGGCCCGCTTCGTTGGTACCGGCAAGCATGATGCTGCCCACTGGCAAGCGGCCAAGCGTGTCCTCCGCTACCTTCGGGGGACCAAGGACTACGTCCTTACCCTTGGCGGCCCCTCCCCTCCCCTCCTCACTGGCTACTCTGATTCTTCCTGGGCTGACTCTAGGCCTGACCGCCGCTCCTCTCAGGGCTATGGCTTCTCTCTTGGCAGCGGCCTCATCAGCTGGCGCTCCACCCGCTCCTCCTCCATTGCCCTCTCCTTCTGCGAAGCAGAGCTGTATGCCGCTACCATGGCTGCGCAGGAGGCCCGCTGGCTCACCTTCCTTCTTGAGGAGCTTGGTGCCCCTCAGCGCTGTCCCACCATCTGGTGCGACAACGCCAGCACCATCCACCTCACGAAGGATGCTGTGTTCCACGGGCGCTCCAAGCACATTGAGCTTCGCCACTACTTCATTCGCGAGCTCGTGCAGGGTGGCCACCTCCAACTGGGCAAAATTGACTCTGCTGCCAATCTTGCTGACATCTTCACCAAAGCCCTCCCCCACGCCGCCCACTCATCCCTCCTTCGCCTTCTTGGCCTCGCTCCCCCTGTTCCCTCGTCCGCCTCCTGATTCAGGACATCTAGTCTTATGCATGTTGGGGGGTTGTGTTGTAAAATATATATCTATACAACATGCATGTCTAGATTAGGAGGTGTAGTCATTATAATTATTGGGGGGTTGTTGGTTGGGTTGACCAACCCAACATTTGGGTTGGTCAAGATTGGATTTGGTCCTAGACATTTGGTTGGCACTATTCCAACCAAATGATCCTTGGTCCTAGGAACCAACCAATCACCAAGCACCGCACTATGTGGTTGCTTGCCTTCCAAGCAATCTCTCTCATTGGTCCACATTGTGGCCAATCGGAGAGCACCACACTTTGTGGTTGCTTGCCCTACAAGCAACCTCTCCCATTGGTCCACTTTATGGCCAATAGGAGAGCTTCCCTTCCAACTCTTCCTTGCTCTTTGTTTTGTACAAAAGAGCCTCTTGGCTCCCTACTCAATTCAATCTTTTCTCTTCCAAGCTAGTTCCTTCATTCACAACCTCCCCTCCTCTCTCCCACACATGTGCTGAGAAGGTGTGATCCTGGTGCAGTTTCTGCAGCTGACGGGTCTGTTCCAGTATGCCATACGGCAGGCGGCAGAGAGATTTGAAGCGCCACCCCCCCCCCCCCCCCTCCCCACACTTTACCCCCCCTTACCCTCCCCAATTTCCTCTCCGTCGCGCTCACAGGTGTGGTTCTTATCCAATGTCTGCAGCTGACCAGCACGCCCTACGGCAGGCAGCGGAGAGCAAGATTTACTTCACCACGGTGGAGCAAAGAATCGCCTCACACGCTCCCCGCCTCGTCCCCACACATGTGCAGGAGTGATTCTGGTGCAATGCTTACAGCTCACAGGTCTCTTCCAGTACGCCATACGGCAGGCAGCAGAGAGCGAGAACTACTTCACCTCGGTGGAGCGAATCCACGCCTTCATGCAGCTGCCCCCCGAGGCCAACCACCTCTCGCCACCTGGCGCTCTGCCGCCCGACTGGCCGCAGAAGGGGCGAATAGAGTTCCGCCACGTGTGCATGGCGTATCGGGAGGACCTACCGTATGCACTGAATGATCTCACCTTCACTGTAAGGCTTTGGGTGCCTGGCATGGCTGGCGGCATGGCAAGCACATGGTATCTTATGTTGTACGGAAGAAAGCGCTACAGCCTAGTCCTTTCTCCCATCCATTCCCCTCCCTCCTCCCCTACTTTCTCACCTCCGATCCCCTCTCCTATCAAACCCCTTTCCTGACCGTTCTCTCCCCTGTGCAGGTGAACGGGGGCGAGATGGTGGGCATACTGGGGCGAACAGGCTCGGGCAAGTCCAGCCTGGCAGCCGTGCTCTTCCGATTGGTGGAGAACAGTCGCAGCCGCGGCCACGTCAGCATCGATGGGTTGGATCTCAGAGACGTGGGGCTGGACGACCTCAGACAGCGACTCTCCATCATACCCCAGGTGGGCCTTCTCCAGGTGAGCCTACTCTGGGTGAGCCTATGTCGCCATTGTATCCCCCCTGAGTTTCGGGGTCAACATCCCACAGGGATGCATACTCTCTGGTTCTCGTTCACTCCTGCCCCTTCTTGGCTTCCTTTCCACACATTGAAATTAGAATCCCTTTTCTTCCCCTCCCTCTGCCCCCAGGACCCTGTGCTCTTCCAGGGCTGTGTGCGGCAGAACCTGGACCCATTTGGCCGCTACTCCGATGCCGACATGGTGGATGCGCTCAGACGGGCCCATCTCGCTCCCAGTTCTCATGCCACACCCTCAGCAGCAGCAGCAGCAGGAGCAGTAGAAACCCCTCCTGCTCTGGGCAGCGGGAAAGCAGATGAGGAATGCAGGACTAACGGTGCAGGTGACGGAAACGCGGGTGAGCATGACTCGTCCGCATTGCTCAATGGATCCCCGCCCGATGCTGCCTCGGCTGCAGCCACAAGGCTCCGTCCAGTGACTCTGGATATGGAGGTGTCTGAAAACGGGGAGAATTTCAGTGTGGGTCAGCGGCAGCTGCTGTGTCTGGCCCGTGCCTTGCTGCGCCAATCCCGAGTGGTGGTGCTAGATGAAGCAACTGCAGCTGTTGATGGTGAGACCGATGCTCTCGTGCAAGCCACTGTGAGGGAACAATTCGGTGTTAATGGCATGCGAGCTACAGTGTTGACTATAGCGCATCGCATTGATACGGTTATTGATGCAGATAGGGTGTTGGTGCTTGCTCCTGGAGGAAGGGTTGCAGAGTTTGATACTCCGGCCCATTTGTTGCGGCAAGGGTTGGATGAACGCGGCATGAGAAGGGGAGAAGGGGGGTCAGTGTTTGCCAGTATGGTCGAAAATGCTGGGGTTGTGGTAGCAGCTAAGCTTTATGGGGCAGCCATGGAGGCCGAGAGTAGGAACATGCAAAATCGAGAGTAGCTTGTTACATTGATGCCCTAGTTATTATGAATAGGTATAAGGCCCCTCCATTGCTTACATTCATAGAAAACTTAAAATAGTCTCACACCCTCCATGATCAGCAGAAGCGATGTTTTTCGGCCTTACTATACCAACGCGAATACACTATTTGTAGCCGTTCACTGTGCATAGTTCCGTGCCATCCTGTTTTCTTGTCGGCGGGGGTCAGGCCAGCCAGCAGCACACTAAAGCGCCGCCAACCCAAGCGGCAACCCCAATGGCAGGGGGAGCGAGCCAGAGCAGAGCAAGCAAGGGAGCAGGGTAGGGTTTGATTTGGATGAGCAGTTGAATCAGCAGCAGCCAGGAGGAGCAGCAGGAGGAGCAGCGGGAGGAGGAAGCAGTGGAGTTTTCAATGGCTGATTAGGTTGGGTTGGGAGAGAGACCCTGGCGAGAATTGGCGCACCCCAAGCAAGAACGTGTTCAATCCATGCCCGGCTTGCAAGAATCTCCAATGCCTCGCATAGCCAAGCTACTGACCTACCCCGTGGTGTCAGACACTTGCCGTCCTCTCCCTCTTCTACGGCTCTAGGTCGTGATTCACGCTCGCTTTCTGGAGCTAGTAACTCGAATTGCCAGAGCGACCAGCGCAGCCAAGGCTTACAGTTGCAGGAGACTTTTAGCTACAGTGAAGGATTTTGACTTATACTTATCACTTCAGTGAATACTTATCTCTGCAGTGAAAACGTATCGCTGCACTTAATAATTTAGATGCACTGAATACTTATGGTTGCAGTGACTACTTATCGTTGCTGTGAATACTTATCACTGCAGTGAATAAATATCGCAGCGGTTATCGCTCCAGTGAATAAACATCGCAGCGGTTATCGCTCCAGTGAATAAATATCGCAGCGGTTATCGCTCCAGTGAATAAACATCGCAGCGGTTATCGCTCCAGTGAATAAATATCGCAGCGGTTATCGCTCCAGTGAATAAGAATCGCAGCGGTTATCGCTCCAGTGAATATTATCGCGGCGGGGAAGCCATGGACGACCTCACTAGCGTCGCAGCGTTGTGCGACGCCTTATCGCAGCAGCCGTGCGACCAGCTCAGTGCGACGCTAATGCAGCAGCTTACTGCGTCGCCGTGCGACCAGCTTACCAGTGCAACCCCAATGAACCTGCTCCAGCCGTCGCTCCTTCCGCAAGCGCCGCTCGACCAATTCGGCCCGTCGTTTCCTGGAATCGACGGCTGCACTTGGTCTCAAGACAATCTGGACGGCTCACAGCCCTGCACAATGGATTTGGAGTTCGACGCCGCTTTGGCTGCGATGATGGCGCAATCCGCGAAAAAGAACCCCCCCTCCGCGGAAGGTCTTTGCGCAGGTGTACCATTACCGCAAGCAGCCTCCGCGCACGCCTCCGCGCCTGTCGTCGCGGCACCGCGTAAGGAGTTTCCGCCGATGTCTGGCGCAAGCGTGGCGGAATCTTTTGCGTGGGCAGCCGCGGCTGCGGCGGGTCCCGCGCGAGCGGAGCAAGCAGTAACGCGGGTGGAAGCTGGATCTCTCGCGCACGGCGCCAGACCCTGTTCCCTGGGGGCTTTAACAAAGTCGCAGCTAGAATTTATGGGGGAAATTACCCCGGAAATGGAAGCAACACTGAGGACTTCACAGATTGGCGTCAGTGCCGCTAATACTGTAACGGCGGGTGCTGCTGCTAACACTAGATGGCTGGTGGATAGTAGCGGTGTTATGCCTTACGCTGACGCGGTTTCAGCAGCGGAGTCTGGCAATGCGGAGCTGCTGCTGATGCTGGTGCTGCTGCAACAGCGCAGTGGAAACACAACAGAGCCAGCAGGTAGGAACGCGCAGGCAGTCGAGACTCCAGCGAGTCTCGCCAATAGAGGTAGCAACGGTGGTCGCAATGGTAGTAACGGCGCGTATGGCAGTGGTTTTGGCTGTAACGCTGGTCAGAACCGTGGTGCGAACGGTGGTATTTCCGGTGGTGCGAACGGTGGTATGCCAGGTGGTTGGAACGGTACTCCCGGTGGTGCGACCGGTGGTAGCAACGGCACGAGCAGCGGCCGCAGTGCAATGCACCCGTTCGACGTGATGCTGGGAATGGAGCGACCGAACCCCGTGAAGCCGACCCCGCAGTCGCGTACCATCGAGCCACATAACTCCGCGCAAGCAACTCGCTCCATTGGCGTTGCAGCAGCAGGCAGCAGTGACCTTGCAGGTAGACCAGGCTGGGTGGACAGAGGAGGTCAGGCGAACGGACAGGCGGCAGGAAAGGCAGCAGCAGCACCTGCAGCACCCACAGCAGCAGCACCCGCAGCACCCGTAGCAGCAGCAGCAGCCGCAGCAGCAGCAGCGGCAGGCATGGCAACAGTAGCAAGCCACGTGGATGGGGCGGAATCGGATGCTGCAGTCGGGAGGCTTCTGCTGGAGTGGGTCGCCATGCACGGCCCGCCCGTTCCCCCGCCTGCTCCGCTGCCTGTTCCGCTGCCTGCTCCGCCAGTCATTCCACCCCGCCCCATTCCCCCAGCCTCAGGCCTCCTTGCCAGTCCACACCGGGAAAAGGAGGGAAGCGGTATGAGCGGTTCTGGGGCGGCGGATTTAGGGGCAGGGAGGGGTGAGCGGAAGGGGGGATGTAACGGGGCTGACGGGTCGACAGAGGCACCAGTGACGTCAGCGGAGGCAGGGGTGATGTCTTTTGAGGCAGCAGCGCAGCAGCTGTTCCGAGCCACGGCGCCTGCTCCGCTGCGACGGGGGCATGATGCCATGGCGCCTGCTGCGCTGCTGGAGGGGCATGATGTGGCATGGGGGGAGAGGGGAGTGGGGCTGGGGGAGGAGCACAAGGGGAGGAAGGAGTGTTCGCTTGTGTCTCTATGCCGGCCTCAAAGGACGCTGTTGCAGCTGATGCTGCTGGCGGTGATGCTGCTGTCGGTGATGGTGCTGGTGCTGATGGTGCTGCTGGTGCTGCTCGTGCTGGTGGTGCTGCTGGTGCTGCTGGTGCTGGTGGTGCTGGTGGTGCTGGTGGTGCTGGTGGTGTGGATGCTGCACGCTGTGCTGCTGCGTTGGAACATGAGGAGGACGAAGGAAGCCGGAGGCGGAATGTGGAAAGCATCAATGGGCCAGGCAATAACCGTGGCGGAAATCTGCTGCTACAGATGATACAAGACATGGAGGAGCAGCAGCAGCAGCAGCAGCACCAGCACCAGCACCAGCAGCACCAGCAGCAGCAGCAGCAGCAGCAGCAGCAGCAAGAGGAGCAAGTGGAGCTGAAGCACGAGCAAGAGGTGCAGCAAGGATATCAAGAGCAACGGCCGTGTCATGGGGATGTGGCGCCATGGGCTGGTTTGAACGGTGGGGCAGTAATGAGGACGTTGAGTGCGGTGGGCGTGGGTGAGAGCAATGGCAGAGTGATGCAGCAGCTGCAGGCGATGCTGGACGCGCAGAGGGAGGACGAGAAGCGGCAGCAGAGCCAGCAGCAGCAGCAGCAGGAGGGCCGGCTCCCACTCCTGCAGCATTTGAAGCAACAAATCCGGAAGCAGCAGCAGCAGCAGCAACAGCTGCAGCTGCAAGAACAGCCACCCCCCCAACCACCCACCCAGCCTTTCTCCCAGCTCGGTGCCCAAGCAAGGCTTGTCAACCCCCTTCCAGCCCCCGAGCCGCTGCCTATAGGCCAGGTGGGAGGGGTAAGAGGCAGGGACTCGGATCCCTCCGGCCCACCGTTTTCGCCCTTCAAGCAAGTGCGGGTGCATTCTCAGGTGACTCAGAAGTCGCCCTCCAATGCAGCTCTGCCTCTTCACGAATCATCCCTTCCACAAAGGACGATTAAAGCACCTTCCGCCAAGCTGGCCCGCCGCGCCCCCGACCTGTCAGCGAGACTCAAGTCCCTCCTTGGGAGCATCAGCACCTCCCCTCCTGCCAACCAATACCGCCCTGCCACTTCAGCAGGCGATGTGCTGTCAGCGTTACCGGCAGCAGCAGGAACGGCAGACATTTTACGAGAGCGTCTGTCAAGTGACCCTGTGCCGGCGGCTGCTGCTGCTGCTGGTGCAGCTGGTATGGGTTCGGAAGCAGGTTTGGGAGTAGGCTCGGCAACAGGTCAGGAAGCAGGCAGGCACAGTGTGACTGATCCGGCAGAAGCTGGGAGCACGGCAGAGGGGAGCGAAGATGCTTATATGGAGGGTCAGGAGGACGGGGGAGGAGACAGAGTGACTGTAGGGGGCGCAAGCATTGCAGGGAGTATGGTTGGAGGGGGATAATCGGATGCGGTTTCTTCGGAGCCAATGCAAGCCTGGACTTCCCAAAAGACTCGCAGTATGAGCACTGGCAGGAGCAGGTGGGGGCGTGGATGGCCGCAGGTGTGATGAATGGAGGGAAGCAGCAGCAAGGGCAGCAGAAGCTGAGGCGCAAGCGAGGGGGGATGAGCCTGGAGCGGCAGCAGGAGGAGGAGAGGAGGCAGGAGAGGAAGCTTCTTCAGAAAATGCTGCAGATTCTCCCGCACAGGCAGGCTCACCAGCGGCTGCTGCAGCAGCAGCTGCCGCTGAGACAGCAGCAGCTAAAGCAAAACGGCAGTGATAAGAATCTGAGCAGCAACAGCCCACGCAGCAGAAATGACCAGCGAAGCAGCAGGAGCAAGAGCAGCACTATGGAAGCATCTTCAGCTGTGCTCTCCATCCCCAGCCGACCACTGAAACTGGATGTTTCTGGGCTGCTTCCTGGCATGGTGGACGGGGGGAGGGAGAGACAGCTGTGGTCGCAGCTGTCCGCCCTGGCTGAGGCTCTCACCACCGACGACACGGTGCGCTCGTGCTACTTGATGCGCAAGCTGCTTTTCATTTCACCAGTCTCTCTTTCATGCCCTGGCTGATTTAAAATCTGAATCCCTGCTCTCCCACCAGGTGCGCTGGCGCTACTTCATGCGCAAGCTGCGGAGGGAGGCGTCAGCAGAGGGGGACACGCTGCAGCGCATCGCCTTCCATGCGCTCGCCGCTCTCAATGCTCGATCAGACGGCTCCGCCATCCAGCAGTTCAACGCCCCCCGTGCTGTCTCTGCCGAGGTAATCATTGCGCTCCACAGAGGTAATCATTCCTCGCCGCAGAGGTACTCGGTGCTCTCAGCCAAGGTAGTCATTGGCAGTTCAGCGCTCCCTGCGCTTATTGATACCCCATGCACACAGCGCCTCAGATTGATAAGTTGCTGTTGCTGTGCTTATTTCGTGCTAAGGCTCTCTCTTTTTCCATTTGTCTCGTTCACAGGGGATCATGGAGCTGATGGGCCATGACAGTGCTTACAGCGTGCCATCCTTTATGGAGTACAACTATGCAGCGCAGGTGCATGAGATTACCCGAGCGTTCATAGAGCCTCACAATGACCGACCCCTCTCCTCCTCACACACCTCCTCCCACCCCGCCTCCTCGCTCTGCAACGCCGCTGCACCAGAACTGGGTACAGCAGCAACAGCACCAGAACCAGCTACAGCAGCAGCAGCAGCAGCAGCAGCAGCAGCAGCAGCAGCAGCAGCCGCAGCAGCAGGGGAGGCAGCAGGTGGAGGGGCGAGCAAGAGGAGGTCGGTGCGGCGGCGGCGACTGCACATCATAGCGCTAGGCTTCTATGCCGGGCCCAACTGGGTCAACATCCTCATGCGCCTTGCCGCCCACTTCTTTGGCCCCACCACCCCGCCCACTTCCCATGTTCCTGCTGCTGCTGCTGCTGCTGCTGGTGCTGCTGCTACTGACGTTCCTGCTACGGCAGCTGCTGCTGCTGGTGCTGGTGCCACACCCTCCACTGAAACCAGCACCAAGACCAGCACTGAATCTGCTGCAGTGCCACGTCCAGCCAGCAACCAGAAGATCGAGAGCAGCACCCAGTGCAGGAGCGAGAGTGAGAACATAGCTGGTGCCTGTGGTGGTAGCGGGCATGGGATGAGTGCAGTTGGCTCCACCTCGACTCGGGGTGCTGCTGCTGCTGCTCCCTCCTCCACCCATTCCCCAGTTTCGTCCACCACTCCCTTGGGCTCTCCACCCGCTACCACTAGATTTGCACCACCAACCTCCGCAACACCCTCTCTTGGGGGTCCCACGCCTGCTGGACCCAGCAAAGCAGCACCCCACCCTGCAGCTCCCTCCCCTGCAGCAGATGCTGCAGCAGATGCCAACACAGGCACCAGCACCCCAGCGTGGGAGAAGCCATATCCCTCATCTCCCACTCCCCTGCTGAAGATCACAGCCGTCGATTTCAACACAGTGAAGCTGGCATCTCAACGGTCAGGATTGGTCCATTTGGGAGGGCAGTACCTAGAACAGGTGGCCAGGATGCTAGATCTGCCCTTCTCTTTCCACGGCGTTGAAACCTCCCCAGAGGATTTCCACCCATCCATGGTGGAAGTAGAGGAAGGGGAGGAGGTAGTGGTGCTGGCCAAATGGTCCCTCAACCTCTTTCCGGATGATTCAGTCCTCCGATCCAACCCCCGAAACGCCATTCTCAAGTGGATATCGGACCTGTCCCCCCTCCTCTTCCTCCACATAGACCTAGATTCTGACGCCAACGGCCCCTTCTTCCTCCCGCGCTTCCAGAACGTCGCACGCACCTTCGCAGCCATCGTCGAGTCGCTCGACGCGTGCTTTCCACACGCCGCCGCCCCGCGCCTGGCGTGTGAGTCCTTCCTGGCGCACGACATGATGAACAGTGTCGCGTGCGAGGGCACACACCGGTGGCTGAGAACAGAGCGGCTGGAGCAGTGGAGGAAGAGGGTGGAGGCGGCTGGGTTCCGGCCCAAATCGATGCATCGGGACACTGTGGAGGCGATGAGAGCCGCGACAGAAGGGAGGGATGCGCGGTTTGAGCTGAAAGTGGACGAACGGTGGTTCGGGGCGTCGGCGGAGTTGAGGTGGCGGGGCACGCCCACCGTGTTTGTGTCGGCTTGGCACTGACTGCAAGAGAGGGGGCCGGGGGGGGGGGAGGGGGGGGGGGGGGAAGGGGTAAGGGAGGGGGAGAGCTGGTGTGGTGCTGGTGGCTTGCCCGCTGGGGTCTACCGCCCACCTGATGAAGTCGATGTTTGGGTGAATGGAGTCAGGGAAGCTCTGCGAATGCTCTGGCTTCCAAGCCCTGCTTACAGTAAGCATTCCAAGCTCTCCGCGCCATTTTCAGAAGCCTCATGCACTGAGCAGAGGGTACGCACGTATTCCACACAAGCCGTTGTTTTTGTTCCATGTTCCCCCTGCCATCCCTGACTCACTATGTCAGCCATAACGTTTTGGTGTAAGGGAGTGCATCACCTAACAGCAGGTAAGAGTTGACTACATGTCTGCACTAGTGTTCTGCCCATCTCGCACCATATTTCAAGTATTTGTGCTGTTATTAGGTAACAACTCTATGAATAATATTTATGATGAAGTATACTCCAAGTTCCAACATATGATGCCAAAACAAAGTATGGCTTCAATGTAGAGGAGACTATGGCTACACAAAGTTTTAACTTCCATAATTTTGCTTTGAAAGCGAGTGCTAATAATATCAAGTTGGTATCACACCTGAAAGAAACTGTATTTTGATGGGGACAAGACTTCTTGGGCTCTATTTCCGATACTGTCGAGTGCAACGGACCAAACAACCGACTCGGACATTGTCGCGTGAGTTACGAAACTCTCTCCGACTTCAGATTTGTGTCAGTGGTGGAACAGGCGAAAGACCTGAAGTCCCGCCCGATCATTTCACTTTCCTTTCGTTTCTGGGCTGCATGTCTCCTGTTACAGCTGAAACCAGCGCTCAAACTTCCAGATCTTGAGGAGAACCGCAGTTCTGAAAATGCCCTCCGGGCTGAAAATGCTAGATCCCTTCCTCCCTTCCCAACCAGATGTGCTAGGGTTTCAGGAGGGCGAGATGAGCAACTTGCAATTCGGGCGAATCAGATCTGCCGAGAGCCTTCAGTCCGGTGAACCAGCACTGCCCAACTTCAGACACCACGCCTGCTATGGCGGCGCTCACATCGCCCTTACCTCGCTAACTCGCTCCAACTTTCACAGCGCTTCGTCGCCGCTGACCCTACCTTTTAGTTCGCGATCCGACCACTTCTGTGGTCCCACGTTTCAGCCAATCGTGCTCGATTTCTAGAGAATTTTGGTAGGCTAACGGTTCGTTTTCTGCCTCCCGCCTGCGAAATGAAAAAATCCAGCCGATTTTAGCAGCAATTAGCAGCCGACGCGATGCGGTTTCGGTTGGGAGTCCCCCAACGTGTGGTCGATCCGTCTCCGCTCAGCAGAACCCACTTCGCCCAACGCCCGTTTTCCACCTCGCCCGAGCTCATTTCTCCTCCGTTTTTGCTCATTCTTGCGTCATTCTGCTCGTCCGTGGCCATTCTGCACGCCGCAACTCCATTTCGCTCCTCGGAAACTCGTTTCCGTCCCTCCTCGGCTGCCAGACGATAGCACAAGCAGTCGCTCATAGCGAGAGAGTTACTCCTCAGATATGCGGATGGATCTCCGATTTTCTTCGCGTCCGAATGGCGCGCTGATGAATGATTGCACACGAGCTGGAGTAGCTATCTTCGGTCGATTTTGTTGAAGGCCGCTCGCGGTTTTTCTAGTAAGTTACCGTAACTTCCTCTTTATTAACAACTTGTATTCTATTCGTCTCTGTGATGCTGATCAGACGTTCTGTTTTCCGGTGCTGCAGATGTCACAAGAGCCTACGGGACTTGGCAACGTTTTGATAGAAATTTCTGAACGCTCTCGCGATTTTCGAGGTAATTTTTTGCAAGTCAGCTTTTCGTAACGCTTGTTTTCCTGATTCTACTTAAAGCTGATTCTACATAAAGCTGATTCTACATAAAGCTGATTCTACATAAAGCTGATTCTACATCAAAGCTGATTCGACGACATTCTTCTAACGTTGCTGCAGATTGGTGTCTGCAAGTCCTGAACGTACGAGACGCATGAATTTCCGCGCGTCGTCACATCTACCTGCTCTCAACTGTCTGCGGGTAAGAACATGCGAGCAGATACCGTAATTTTCGTTCGTTATTAAATTTAACCGTGATTTCTTAGTCGTTTCTGGTCCGCGTCTAACTCTCCGCGTTGCGATGTGCAGGGACTCGAGACGAGGGAGCTGCACGCGTGTGCACGTCACGACTTACCGACCTACCTGCTGCACCCTCACGAGGCGCTACCTCCCCTGCTGCTGCAGCGCGTGCCTTCTCACGGCTGCTCGCCCTCTTCCACGCGTCGTTTTAATTCGCCGTTGAAAGGTATGCTTGCAATCCGAGGGAGGTGGGGGGTCGCGTAGGCGTCTAGGAAAGGCCGCCTGCCGACAGAGTCGAGTCGTTGCCATGTCCTCGCGTCTTTGATTGATATCCAGTGCGTACTAACGTCTATTTTTCTCCTGGCGTGTCTTCCCTATCCCCCCGCCCGTCCCTCCGCGCTCCTCGACCGCTGTTGGCGCGTGTGAGGCAACGAGAGAGTGCCTCGGGATCGCCGCGTCCACCGTCGCCCGCGTCATGCCGGGCGGCAGTAACGGCTGCAATAACGGCTGCAGTAACGGCTCCAATAACGGCTGCAGTAACGGCTGCAGTAACGGCTGCAGTAACGGCTGCAGTAACGGCTGCAATAACGGCTGCAATAACGGCTGCAAGGCATCAGCGCCAGCGACGTTGGCATCAGCGCGCATCAGCCCACTTGTTGTGCACTTGTCGCCTCTTCCCACAGTTGAAAGGTATGCTCTCAACTCGAGGGAGGAGGGGGGGCGCGTAGGCGTCTAGCAAAGGCTGCCTGCCTAAAGAGTCGAGTCGTTGTCGCTGGTGCTGTGTCTTTCTCCGAGACTGCATGCACCAACGACCTTCGTGGTTTCGCCCCTTCCCCCCGCCCTCCCGCCACACCCCCTCTACCTGTCGCCTCGCTGTTGGCGCGTGGGAGGCAACGCGAGTGCCTCTGATCGCCGTCAGCCCCGTCGCCAGCAGCATGCGGGGCTGCAGGGACGGCTGCAGGTACCAGCATGAGCGCCAGCACAGCGGCAGCGCAGGCAGCAGATTCACTCGGCTCAACTTTCCAGCTAAGTGGTTCCATCCCTCTACCCTCGCACGCTCGCCCCGCCATGCTCTTTGCTGCCGTCACTCGCTCTGCTGCTGCATCGTTCCGCTGGTGGCAGCTCAGCTGCATCGTTCGTTCTCTCCTTCAAACCGGTGCTGCTGGTGGCAGCACAGCTCGCAGGCCACAGACCCCTTCTCTGCAGGTGGACCCCCCCCAGGTACAGCAGGTACAGCCCTCAGGTTCAGCCACACGCCCTCAGGTATAACCCTCTTCGGTCTGTGGCTTGCAGCTGGCGCTCCACCAGTGGCCCCCTCCCTTCTCCCCCCCCGGTACCTCACCCCACATACATGCATGCCCTGGCCACTTCACCGCACACTGACCAGCACTGTGTGTGAGCATTGCAGGTGGAGGGGAGGAGCGTGGGGGTCAACACCGACACTCCCTCACCCCCCTTCCCTGTGGCCGTGCAGGTACCCGCGCGGATGGGGGAGGAACGGCAGGAGAGTGGAGCAAGGGAGGGAGAGTGGAGGAGGGGCAGGGGAGTGGAGGCCACCCTCCGTGCTTCAACGTCCAGCTAAGTGCCTTCTCGCCCCTGGACCTGGCCTTGCATGCTGCTACCTGCTCCAGCTCATGTCTCAATTCGATCACTCCTGCTTCCATGTTTCCTCTCTCCAAATCTGCGCACTGGTTAAGCGCGGCCCACAACCCTCAGACCCCCTTCAGCAGGTAAAACCCTCAGGTTCAGCCCCCTAAGCCTTACAGCCCCCCAGGTTCACCCCCTACTGCAGGTACACTCCCCCAGGTGGCCCTGGGCTCTGTGGCTTGTGGTCGCGCCTCCACCAGTGGTCCGCCCGTCTCTCCCATTGCATGCAGCTGTAACTTGTCTCAGTTACAACTCACCCTTAGTCCCCCCACTGCCCACTGACCAGCTCTGTGTGCGTGCATTGCAGGTGGAGGGGAGGGGCGTGGGGTCAACACCAACACTCCCTCACGCCCCTCCCCTGTGGCCGTGCAGGTACCCGCGGGCCATGGGGATGGGTGGAGGAACGGCAGGCGAGCGCAACAGGGGAGTGGGGAGCCCACATTCAGCAGCGCTCCAACGTCCAGCTAAGTCCCTTGTCCTCCCGGGCCTGGTCTCAGCCTGGCATGCTGCTGGCTTTTCAAGTTCTTTCTCGTTTGGATAACCTTTCAAGTCCTCCCTTTCTCGTGCTTCCGCGTTTTCTCCCTCAAAATCTGGCCACTGGTTGGGGTTCGGCTCACAAGCCACAGACCCCATACTGCCGATATCCCCCTCAGGTTCAGCCCCCCTCACAGCCCCCCAGGTTCACCCCTACTGCAGGTACAACCCCCCAGGTCCCCTCAGGGGTCTGTGGCTTGTGCTCGTCCCTCCACCAGTGGCCCCTCTCTTCTCTCGCGTGCAGTTTTGTCAGTTACCATTCGCCGCTCATCCCTCCTCTGTGCACTGACCAGCGCTGTGTGTGTGCATTGCAGGTGGAGGGGAGGGGCGTGGGGTCAACACCGACACTCCCGCTCGCCCCTCCCCTGTGGCCGTGCAGGTGCACACGTGGAAGGGCTGGGAGGAGGGCTGCCACGAGGGAGAGTATCTGGGGTGTGGGGTTGGCCTCTCAAGGTAAGCCCAGCCCAATCCCAGTCGCCCCTCCTGTCCCTTTCCTTTGCCTGTATTCCGCGTCAGTCGCAGCATGCCCTCCTTTCCTCTCTCTGCTTCTCTGCCTTCCAACCCAGCGGAGGCTCGGCTCCAAATCCAGCCTTTTTTTCTTTCTCCTTTCTCCACCCGCCCCTTGTCTCCCTCGCAGGGAGCAGTGGGAGGGAGGAGGGGCAGCAGGAGGGGCAGCAGTCAAGAGTGGAGGGGGCAGCAGTCAAGAGTGGAGGGGGCAGCAGGCAAAGGGAGGGGGCAGCAGTCAAGAGCGGAGGGGGCAGCAGGCAAAGGGAGGGGGCACTGGGCGAGGGGAATGGGGGACTAGGCAGCTAATCAAGCAGCGCTTCAGGTGTCCAGCTAAGTACCTTCTACCCCCTTGCCTTGGCTATGCATGCAGCTGTCTGCTCATGCTTCTGCCTCATTCTGCTCGTGCTCGCTTCCATGCTTCCAATTCCTCCATTCAAATGAAGCCACTGGTTGGGGCCCAACTCACTAGCCACAGCACCCACCTACTGCAGGTTGACCCCCTTAGGTATTTTTGGTACACCCCCCCCCAGGTAACCCGTCAGGTAAAGCCTTACAGCCCCCTCAGGTTCAGCCGTCAGGTCCCCTGGGGGTCTGTGGCTCGTGGTTGGGCTTCTACCAGTGGCCCCTCCCTCCCCTTTCCCGCCTTTCAATTCTTGCAGTTCTCGCTGATTCCCATTCTCCCTTCATCCCATAACTGTGCACTGACTAGCGCTGTGTGTGTGCATTGCAGGTGGAGGGGAGTGGCGTGGGGGTCAGCACCTACGCGACCTCATGCCTCTCCCCGGTGGCTGTGGGGGGATGGGGGGCGAGGCAGCACAGTCATCACTGAGCAGCACGAGGGAGAGTATCTGGGGGTGGGCTTGGCCTCTCAAGGTAAGCTCTCATGCTCGCTTCCTCGCCCTGAGGCTCATTTGCTGCTGCGTTCCTCGTTGCTTCCTCTTCCTGCTGCAATCCGTATTTTGCACTTCTGAATTCCTTCTCGTTCACAGCTGGTTTATCTTCTGTTTCGCTGCAACCTCACCCTTCCCTCGCTTCTAGTCTCACATGGTCTCCCAACCTCCCTCCCCTGTGTGCCTCCCCATTCTACCCCTACCAGGTCGCTTGGCATCCATTGAAGATTGCAGCAGTGAAGCAGAGCAGCAGCAACAGCAGCAGCAGCAGCTGGACTTGGGACGGTTAGAGGGCAGGCTAGGTCTAGTTGGTGAGTGACCGAGGTATGGTAACAGGTGAGGGATGGTAACAGGTGAGGTATGGTGATCTGATCCCCCCCTCTCTCTTCTCCTCATCCCCTCAGGATCGGAGCTCTGAAGCAAGGACAGCTGGAGGTGGAGTCCCTCTCCCCTCACTCTCCTTCCCCTCTCTCCTCCCCCCCCCTCCCCAGCAGCAGCAAGGGCAGGAGGGTGGATCTCGGAGCGCTGGAACAAGCCAGGAGAGTGGAGCCCCCTTCACCCCCTTTCCCCCCCAGCCAACCCCCCCCCCCCCCCCCGCCCTCGCCCCACTCACCTCCCCTCCCTTCCCCAGCAGCATGTCTTGAGCTCTGAGGGAGCGGATTCCCCACCATAATCCCCCTTCCCCTCCCAGCAGCCTCAGGCAACATGGCACCACTCTGCATCGCTCTGGTAGGGGGAGGTAAGGGTCTGCTGGCATGAGGGACTGGGGGGTTTGGAGGGTGGGGGGAGAGGGGAGGGGGGGGGGGAAGCATGGGAGTGTGCAGTCAGCCCCCTGCCTTAGGGTCAGCATCCTTGGTGGTTGCACGTTGTGGGTGGGGTGTGGTGGGTGCAATCTGCGCGGCACGGCACTGGGTGCTCAAGTAACCGATCTGGCGTTTAAGGCTTAATGGACACCGTCAGAGTCGGCCGGCCGGCGGCTCTGGTTCGCGTCAGCTCTAGCCACGTCAGGGGTGGGATTTGAGTCTTTGGCTGGAAGCGCTTTTCCACTGCCACACCTCGCCCCACGAGGTGCACTCTCTGGGGTGCTGCTTCCCAAGGGGAGTGGGCTGTCTGCTGCTCCTACTGCTCACAGATGAAGGCGGGGGAGAGGGGAGGGGGGGGGTGGGAATCTATGGTGGTGAGAGGAAGTGGTGGTGGTGGTGGTAAGTGAGGGAGGGGAGGTGGGTAAGGAGTGAGCAAAGGGGCAGTGGAGGGGGTTTGAAACCCTCCAGGGTAAGGGGTGTGTCGGAGGGGGGTTTGAAACCGCAGGGAAAGGCAAGTGAGGGGCAGGGGGGAAGGGGGGGTTGGAACCCCCAGGCTAGGGCTGGAAGGGCAGAGGAACCCCCCTCCTCTGCTGTCTGTTCGCCTTAACCTGGGAGGTTCAACCCCCCTCTCTTGCCGTTCACTTGCTTACCTTGAGGTTTCAAACCCCACTCCCCTATCTTGCCCTCTCCTTGCCTTTGAGGGTTTCATACCACCTCCTCTACTCCTCACCTGTCTTGGGGGAGTGGGAAAGGGTGCCTGAAGGCCTCAGGGTAAGCCAGCGTGAGAGGGAAGAGCGACAGGGGGCCTGAAAGCCCCTTGGGTAAGTGGAGTCAGAGGGACGAGTGAAAGGGGCCTGAAAGCCCCTTGGGTAAGTGGAGTCAGAGAGACGAGTGAAAGGGGCCTGAAAGCCCCTTGGGTAAGTGGAGTCAGAGGGACGAGTGAAAGGGGCCTGAAATCCCCTTGGGTAAGTGGAGTCAGAGAGACGAGAGAAAGGGGCCTGAAAGCCCCTTGGGTAAGTGGAGTCAGAGGGACGAGTGAAAGGGGCCTGAAAGCCCCTTGGGTAAGTGGAGTCAGAGGGGCGAGTGAAAGGGGCCTGAAAGCCCCTTGGGTAAGTGGAGTCAGAGGGACGAGTGAAAGGGGCCTGAAAGCCCCTTGGGTAAGTGGAGTCAGAAGGACGAGTGAAAGGGGCCTGAAAGCCCCTTGGGTAAGTGGAGTCAGAGGGACGAGTGAAAGGGGCCTGAAAGCCCCTTGGGTAAGTGGAGTCAGAGGGACGAGTGAAAGGGGCCTGAAAGCCCCTTGGGTAAGTGGAGTCAGAGGGACGAGTGAAAGGGGCCTGAAAGCCCCTTGGGTAAGTGGAGTCAGAGGGACGAGTGAAAGGGGCCTGAAAGCCCCTTGGGTAAGTGGAGTCAGAGGGACGAGTGAAAGGGGCCTGAAAGCCCCTTGGGTAAGTGGAGTCAGAGGGACGAGTGAAAGGGGCCTGAAAGCCCCTTGGGTAAGTGGAGTCAGAGGGACGAGTGAAAGGGGCCTGAAAGCCCCTTGGGTAAGTGGAGTCAGAGGGACGAGTGAAAGGGGCCTGAAAGCCCCTTGGGTAAGTGGAGTCAGAGGGACGAGTGAAAGGGGCCTGAAAGCCCCTTGGGTAAGTGGAGTCAGAGGGACGAGTGAAAGGGGCCTGAAAGCCCCTTGGGTAAGTGGAGTCAGAGGGACGAGTGAAAGGGGCCTGAAAGCCCCTTGGGTAAGTGGAGTCAGAAGGACGAGTGAAAGGGGCCTGAAAGCCCCTTGGGTAAGTGGAGTCAGAGGGACGAGTGAAAGGGGCCTGAAAGCCCCTTGGGTAAGTGGAGTCAGAGGGACGAGTGAAAGGGGCCTGAAAGCCCCTTGGGTAAGTGGAGTCAGAGGGACGAGTGAAAGGGGCCTGAAAGCCCCTTGGGTAAGTGGAGTCAGAGGGACGAGTGAAAGGGGCCTGAAAGCCCCTTGGGTAAGTGGAGTCAGAGGGACGAGTGAAAGGGGCCTGAAAGCCCCTTGGGTAAGTGGAGTCAGAGGGACGAGTGAAAGGGGCCTGAAAGCCCCTTGGGTAAGTGGAGTCAGAGGGACGAGTGAAAGGGGCCTGAAAGCCCCTTGGGTAAGTGGAGTCAGAGGGACGAGTGAAAGGGGCCTGAAAGCCCCTTGGGTAAGTGGAGTCAGAGGGACGATAGAAAGGGGCCTGAAAGCCCCTTGGGTAAGTGGAGTCAGAGGGACGAGAGAAAGGGGCCTGAAAGCCCCTTGGGTAAGTGGAGTCAGAGGGACGAGTGAAAGGGGCCTGAAAGCCCCTTGGGTAAGTGGAGTCAGAGGGACGAGTGAAAGGGGCCTGAAAGCCCCTTGGGTAAGTGGAGTCAGAGGGACGAGTGAAAGGGGCCTGAAAGCCCCTTGGGTAAGTGGAGTCAGAGGGACGAGTGAAAGGGGCCTGAAAGCCCCTTGGGTAAGTGGAGTCAGAGGGACGAGTGAAAGGGGCCTGAAAGCCCCTTGGGTAAGTGGAGTCAGAGGGACGAGTGAAAGGGCCCTGAAAGCCCCTTGGGTAAGTTAGAGTCAAGAGGGAAGAGAGAAAAGGGGTCTGAAACCCCCTTTGGTAAGTTATGAGTCAAGAGGGAAGAGAGAAAAGGGGTCTGAAACCCCCTTTGGTAAGTTATGAGTCAGGGGGAAGGGAGAAAGGGGTCCTGTGACCCCCTTGGGTAAGTTGTGAGTCGGGAGAAGAGAGAAAGTAGGTCTGAAACCCCCTTGAATAAGTTATGAGTAGGAGGCAAGAGAGAAAGGGGGTCTGAACCCCCCTTGGGTAAGTTATGAGTCAGGGGGAAGGGAGAAAGGGGGTCTGAAACACTCTTGGATAAATAATGAGTGAGAGGGAAGAGAGAAAGGGGGCGTGAAACCTCCTTGGGTAAGTTATGAGTCAGGGGGAAAAGAGAAAGGGGGTCTAAAACCCTGTTTGGTAAGTTTTGAGTAAGAGGGGAGAGAGAACGGGGGGCTGAATCCCCCCTGGGAATGTTGAGTCAGATGGAAGATAGAAAGGGGGCCTGAAACCTCCTTGGGAAAGTGGAGTCAGAGGGAAGAGAGAAGGGGGGCGTGAAACCCCTTTGGGGTTACCCCCAGCTTTGTGCGAGCAAGGTGCAGGGGAACCCCCTTCCTCCGTCCTTGGGTGTAAGAAGTGAGGGTTCTTTTGAGCTCACACTAAAGTGATGGGTGTAAGGAGTGAGGGTCCTTTTGAGCTCACACAAAAGTGATGGGTGTAAGGAGTAAGGGTCCTTTTGAGCTCACACAAAAGTGATGGGTGTAAGGAGTGAGGGTCCTTTTGAGCTCACACAAAAGTGATGGGTGTAAGGAGTGAGGGTCCTTTTGAGCTCACACAAAAGTGATGGGTGTAAGGAGTGAGGGTCCTTTTGAGCTCA